ATTCGATTTCCTGTCATGAGTTTCCTGAAAAGTCTTCTGGGATGGGCAATGACTTTGCAAGGACATGCTTAGCTGAATCATGCCCCCTGCTCACCCTCATCCTGAAGTGACCCTGACTCCTTCTCCTGACATAACGTTTAGAGCCCTGTGTTAACTGGTCTGGATGCCTCCCCTACCATGCCTGCCCACTGTGCACTCCAGCCTCACCACCACTCTCTTCACCCTGGACTACACCATGTCCTACCCACCCCAGATCCTCATGTCTAAAGTGCCCTTTCTGTAGCCACCCCTTCATGTTGGACTCACCTTCAAGGCTGGACTCAGAGGTCTGCTCCTCCAGGCTCTTGTTCAAACACAACCTTTGGGGTCAGGACAAGAGTTAAAACCACAGCTAGGCCACGTTACAGCCCTATAACAGGCAAGCTTATGCAGTCACTTCTCAGAGACTCAGTTTCCTCTGTTACAAAATGGGGTCAGTGATTCCAGCCTCATGAGGATGTGTTGGGGATTGTAACAGGTTACATGAAGGTTCCCGGTACTTGAACATCAGGAGGTCTACCCAGACTGGGCACATTCAGCTCAGCACAAGGCCTCTGATCATGAGCATGGGCATCAGTCATGTCAAGAGCAGTGATTTTGAGTCCCATGTTCGAGGTTGGGCTTGGTTCCTTACAGCCGCGTGGCCTTAGGTGCCGGTGGTGCTAGTTGCTCATCTGTAAAATGGGGTGAAATCACTGAGTGCCCAGGAGGGCCTCTCCAGCAACAATAACTACCCCCCTACACTTGATCATTTCCAGTGGTCCAGTCGCCTCTGCCTGGGCTCCCTTCTGTCCCCTCATCCACCAGCCAGGGCTTGGGCTGGACAGGCTGGACCTCAGGTTCCCAGGGTCCTGTCAGCAAGTACAGGGGGTGAGGGGGTAGAAGGAGGAAGCAGAGGGATGGTCTGAACTTCTCATCTGCCCTGATGCACCTACTATTTCCTGCTTTAGTACCCCAACCCCTTCAGTCCACCAGGTTGGCTCTGTAGGAGGCATCAGAGGAAGAGTGTGGGCAGTGGAGAGAGGAGCTACTCAGCGGCTCTAGCATTCCCAGATCCTCCATGCCCAACTTCCAGTGCCCATCAGCCTGTGTGAATTGCAAGTGGCACCAGGGCCCCAGGGTGCATAGGAGCACAGAGGAGGTAGCAGAGTTATCAGAGAATGTGTGGCATCTGCTGAGCAAGTGGAGACTTTGGTGCATTATGTGAGCACCTGTGAGCAAGCTGGAGTCACATCCATGCACTGTGCCCAGGCCCACACAGGGCCCTATGTGCATGCATGGTCTTGGACATAAGGTGTGGCAGCTCAATGAAATGTCCTCCAGTGTCCACTTGTGTTAGGGAGGCTTGCTCACCAGCACTCACTGCAAGTAGCCACCACCCCATCCAGAGTGAAGGGAGCTGGCACCGGGTCCTTGCTGTGAGTGCACTTACTGTGCTCCACCCCTACCTCCTCACTGTACAACTGGGAAAATAAAGCCCAGAAAGATCTAGGCAATGACCCACAGCACACAAGCTGGGCAGATCGAGAGGATCAGGAAGATTTCTAGCCTCCTAGTGCAGGCCTCAACCTCTGCCCCTGGGGCTGGCTTTGGCAGTGAGAGTCCCTAAGATGTGGGGGTCTGCTGCCCCACCTCTTGCCATGCTGGGAGCTTTTCCTGTCAGCATCCCCACATGCTCACAGGCACAAACACTGAACTCACAGGTGGGGGCCATGGAGGTGGGGTCAGTTGGGGAGCAGACACCAAAGACCTGACAAGGGTGTAGGAAGAGAGATGGGAGGAATCTATGCCATGGACAGTGGCATGAAGTCTCCTAGCAATGGGTCCTCAGGACCATAGCATGGGGGGATGTGGAGAGACTGGGCTCATGGCAGGGAATTGCAGAGGTCCCCAAGGGTCTGCCTGGGCTGAGGCACCCCAGGACAGGCTCGAGATGAGTGGGTGTCTGCAGCCCAAACTATGGGAACCTAGAACTAGGATAAGCCCCCACTAGCGTGAAGGGGGCCACAGGAGGCAAGGCCTCACTTTTCACCTCTGTAACTGCGTTCTAGAATGGGTAAATCCATGGGCTTCACAGACTTAGCAAACTGTCTACTTGCCTTCGTTCTCCATCGATGACCCACTGCACACTGGGGGCCTTGGAAAATGCTTTCTAGTCCCTGGAGGTCAATCTGAACAGAGAGGCTTGGAGCTGGAGAACGTAGGGCTTGGGTAGAGCAGAGCATGAGAGCACCATAACATGAGTCCAGATTCCAGGTCCAAGACCAATCCTTGTTGGAACCTCAGGGTCCTACTTTAGATGAGGGGTCAGGGTTACTGCTCTGGCTGTGTTGAAAATGCATCCTATGTGAACTGGACAGCCAAGGCCAGTTGAGACAAAGAAGGTGGCAAGGGAAGTTTCAAAGACCGTCATCCCGACCTTGGAGTCTATGAGTCCCACTCATTTGCCCCCCTGAGATCTTGGAGAAAAGCTGTCCTGATGACACCTGAACAAGGTGTATGTTTCGTTTTGTGCTTTCTCTGCCTGGGACTGCAGTGCCAGCACTGGCCACCAGGGAGCGGTAGACCCTTCTCCCAGAGGTAATCATGAGCTTTGCTGGAGTGAAAAAAAGCAAAGAGTCATCCAGAGGTCATTCTGCCAGTCTGCCTGACTCAGACCCAACTTGCACCTGCTTTAAGATCCACCTCTACAATCTGAGCTGGTCAGAGGTCATCTCATATATTCATTCCTCAACTAGGCTCTGAATACTCACCCATATTGTGCACTAGGTGCAGTGCTGAACATGACTGACATGGTCCCAGCCCTGCAAGAGCTCACAGTCAGGAGGGGGAGATGGACAAAGCATGTGAACACATGTGAAAGTAAAGAGCAAGTGCGATAGCGAGAATACAGCAGGCTGCTGAGAGGGAGGTCTGGGGGGCTACTAGGTGGGAAGGTCTGAAAGGGCACACTGAGGTGATATTATGCAGCAATCAGAATGGCAAGAGGGTGCCAGTGCTGCACAAGGCTGGGGACAGGGTGCCAGGGAGAAGGCATAACTGGAGTAGAGACTCAGAGGCATGAGTGAGTTTGTCCAGAGAAGAAGGACCAATGGTGTCCAGGGTGTCCCCAGTGAGTTTGGGATGAGGGGGTGGGAAGAAGAGGAGGGCAGAGCCAGGTCCTGTGGCCTGGTAGCCTGCATTTATGTATTGGTCTGTGACAAAGTTACCCCAAAACTTAGTGGATCAAAGCAACAAACAAAATATCTCACAGTTTCTGTGGATCAAGAATTAGGGCATGGCCTAGCTGGTGCCTCTGTCTCAAGGTCTATCAGGAGGCTAGGGCTGTGGTCTCAACCAAAACTTGACTGGGGAAGGATCCACTTCTAAGCTCCTTCACATGCTCTTGGCAGGATTTGGTGAACTGTTGGATTAAGGGCCTCGACTCCTCTCTGACTGTTGGCCAGGGCCCTCCCTTTGTTCTTTGCTACATGGACTTCTCCACAGGGCAGTTCATACTATTGCAGCTGCTCTCCAGAGTAAGGTGAGAGAGAGAGAGAACAAGAGAAAGAGAGTGCTAGAATAAAATCCCATATATTTTACCCTGTTCTATTCTTTAGAAGGCAGTCGTTGATTCCACTCTGCACTTAACAAGTGGGCAATACACAGGGATGTGTGTGCAGGAGGCCAGATCACTGGGAGCCAGTGTGCAGTCTGAGATGAGGAAATTGGATCTGATTCTAAACACAATGCAAGTTTCTGGGGGCTTTTATGCCTAAGGGTGATGGTGTGTCATTTTTATTTATGTTCATCCTCCTCATGGTGCAAATAGGGAAATGAAACCAACAGCAGAAGCAGCTTTCCCAGTATCATATCCTCAGAACCCAGCCCTGGTTTGATTTATACTCCACACTGCTTCCTACCACTTCTCATATTTTTTTTTTTTAACTCAAAGTTTGTGCACTAGCTACACATGACATCAGTCCATGGGTTTTATACATATTACTTCACAAACACCTGATGATGTCCCTAGAAAAGAGAGGCTAGCATTATCCCCATTGTACAGATTGGGGGAGTGGGGAGCCCTCACAGGCACACTAAGTGGTCAAGAGTCACATCACTGGTGAGAGGCAGAAGCCAGGGTTGAAACCAGATAAGTCTATTCAAAGCTGGGACACTGGGTGCACCTAAGTTTCTTGAAAGGCTATAGGAAGCATGGTGTTGTCTTATCTGTCTAGAGATATAGAGATGTCATGGGAGAGGAGTGTGAAACCCTCTGGGTCCTTTGGGAAAGTCTATTTCAAGGAGTAGGCCAAAGTAGGGAGACACAGGAAGTGACCACACTTCCTTGATGATAATCCCAACAGAACTTGGAACTCTCGTAACCAGGCACCCACATTCTAGAGAAAACTTCCTACCCATCTCACTTGGGTAACGAAACTCAAGACAGCAAAATGTTTTCTCACTGTTTATTGACTTCCAGAGACTATAGACTCAGGAAGTCACAGAGTGAGAACATTTTTCAAAGATTTGGACATTGGCTCTGCCCTCATCCCCAAACCCTCAGGCCAACTGACAGGCAGAGTGGACCAGGGAAGGTCAGTCCATGCCTGGCCACCACTGTGATCCCACCTGGGTGATATCGCACCCCTCCACAACCATACCAGGCCCTAGGCTGCACAGCCATTACCCTCATGGAGTATCAGTTAGGTAGGCAGGTAGGAAATACAGACCTAAGTAATAAGACAGAAAGTGGTCAGAATGAGGCTGGATCCATTGGGAAAAGAGGTCTATGGGGGACAGAGAAGAATTGCTGAAGAAGTCACGTGATCTGGGAAGATTTGTGAGGGGAGTTGTGATGATGAAAACGATGATAATGGTATTATGGCTCAGGGATTCCCTGTGTGTGCTCCAACCCCTGGCCTCCTAGTTATTCCTGGTGCCGCACCACAATGTATGTTCCTTCTTTGTCTCACCTCCAGCGTGAAAATGAGTCAGTGCCGAGCCTGCATAGGAAGTCCTCAGTCCGGATCTATAAAGTATCTACAATCAAAAATTTAGTGGAGCCCCTGGTGCCTGCCTTCCAGGACAATGACACTTCCTACATCTCTACCTTTCTGTCCACTTACCGGTCCTTTGGGACCACCAAACAGGTCTTAGAAGTCCTTTTCAAAAAGTAAGTGCCTGCCCCTTCTACAGCACAGTGGCGACTATGCCACATACTAGTTATGCATCTTGGGAATGTCACTTTGTCTCTCCAAGTTTCGTTTGCTCCTCCTAAAAGTGGGAAAGTGAAAGGATCCCCAGTATAGGGCTATTGTAAGGACTAAGTGGGATGGGCATGTGAAGTGAATTCTGAGTGCTACTGGAGAGGCTGTAGTTGTTCTTATTGATTCATGTTCCTCTCCTCCATGAGAAAGCTCTCTGCCTCAGCCCTCACTGACAAAAGATCCCAGCAAAAACTGCTTCCCCATTTAGAAATGAGGGTTGAGATTCCCCCTTGGGGTCCTTGTCACTGGAGTAAGGATCCCCTAAGAGGGGAGATCAACTGGCCTACTCAGATAACTGGGAAGCTACAGACAGTAGCTCATTAATTTTTCAAAAGTATGTTAAACACCCACCATTTGCAGGTATATTCTAGTCACTTAGCATCATTGCTTGAGCAAAGCAGACACAAACCCTGCCTTCCAGAGCTTACTTTCTAGTCGTGTATCAGACAGAAACCGTAGACTTCACAAGCTGGTATGTACACAGGACTTTGTTGTGAAACACTCATGGCTTCTTCTAGGTATGGATACATCCTCAGGAATGGTGGACCCCAGGACCAAATAAAAAAGTAAGTGGACTTGGCATCAAGCAGGAGGGGTTCCTGTCTTTACAGACCAGTGGGAAGAGCGGAGGGAGCTGCGGCTGGGGAAATGCTGGGCAGAATCCTGGGTCTCATTAATCTTATGATTCCCACTAGAGGGCTGAAGTTTGTGGACACCCCCTGCAACAGGAAAAGATTCAAAAAGCTGAGGATGGGGTACAGAGGGTCTGCTGGAGTAGGTGGGCAGCAGGCTTAGAAAGGGAACCTGAGAAGACCCATCCCTGCCCCATCCCCTTTTCAACTCAGCTTGCCCCCATCACACCACCACCCTGGGGGCCAGAACAGGTGTAGTGTCTAACCTGCTGCCCAACCTGGCTCAGACCTCAGGGCTGTGTGACAGCTGCATGTGGGGCTGGGGCAGGCTGCAACCCTGCCCTTTGGGAACACAGTGTCAATGTGAGATGGGACCACAAATGGAATGGGGAGAATAAGGCAGCATGTGGGTGTACAAACTAGAGATGGAGCTGTCATGAGGGCCTTTGGAAGACGGGGGCCTGAGGACAGACTCCATTGTTCCCTCATCCATCATACATTTATGGAGCACCTACTGTGTGTCAGCACAGAGCAATGAACAGAGGACCCAAACCCCCTCCCTCCTGGTGTTTACCATCCAGGAAGGAGGGTCCAGGGGTGACACACAGAATAGGTCAGGCTTCCTGTAGAAGGGGACAGTTGGTCAGACTGTGGATTCAGAGCTCCGTATGATGCAGGCTGTTTTCCAGCCCCCTGCATGGAGACCAGGCTGCTACTGCCCATACAGAAGGAGTGGGGCTGGGGGACGCTGGGGTGGGCCTGGCCTCTGAACAGGCAGGACCTGGCAAGTAGGCCAACTTCCCACAGAGATCGCATTGAGGGATGCATGGAAGGAAAGGCCAGGCATCTGACGGTGCTGTCCACCCACTTGCCTCTAGTGCCATCTCCTCCATCCTGGGCCTCTGGGTGAACCAATACCTGGAAGATTTCTATGAGCTCCCAGATTTGCCCTGCCTCTGGCTGCTGGTTGACTACACAGGGCTCAATATGCCCGGATCAGAGCTGGAGCAATGTGCCCGTCTTCTCCTGGCACACATGGAGCACCCAGAGCCCACTGAGGCAGAGCCAGAGGATGAGGCAGAGCCAGAGGATGAGGCAGAGCCAGAGGGTGAGGCAGAATGAGGGAGGGTGTACAAGAGCATGTGGGCTGGGGGACTGGCTGGGTACACAAGGAAGAAGCGCCCAAGTTTTGGTTGGGAGTGGAGCAAGGACTAGCCTCAGATCACTCATCTTGTGGACTGCAATCTGAGAAGGCTTCCTGGAAGAGGAGTTCTTGAACTGGGGCTGCTCACAAAGGCAGTGGCATGGTTTCTATATTTGGAAAAGCATATGGAAAGTCATTTCTATTGGTGAAACTTTCCCTCTTTCCAGCTCCAGGACCTGGTCTAGAGCTACACACAGCTCCATCATCAGCTTTAGTGGCAGCTCTAGAGCTGGAGGCAGCTCCTCTGGCAGCTCCAGAACCAGCTCCATCACGAGCCCCAGCAGTTACACCAGAGCTTGGGCCAGTGCCAGCTCCAACACCAGAGCCTTCCTGCCCCTCACTTGTGAGCACAATGCATGAGCTGAGACAGGAGGAGAAGCTGAACATCTTGTAATTCCCTCCCAAGCTGGTGACAGAACAATTAACGATGGTGGATATGGTCAGCGGCTGGGCTGGCGGGGTGGGCCTAGGGCAGACCTTCATCTGGAATTTGATGCCCAAGACTTGTCTTTCCCTGATCTGGATTCAGTGATCTGCATCCAAATCCCAGCTCCACCACTTACCAAGCATGGGACTTGGACAAGTTTCTTAAACTCCTGGGCTGCTGTCCACATATGGATAGCAGACACAGACTACCGACCCATCCTGCTGCATACAGTCACTGTGAAGAGTCAATGAGATAGGACAAATACTCAACTTAGCAGGGGATGGCTCCTTAAAAGGCTAAATGTTACTCCCTGATGGACACTTGGTTCATGGGTGGACCACCAGGGTTCCTCACAAACTTCAGTACTAATTAGGCACTTAATGCATACAATGCTCTATGGTAAACTTCCAAACAAGGCTGTAGTTGTAACGCCCAGAGAGAATGTGCCTCTGAATGGGACAACAGAACAAAAGGGCTTATCAAGATGGGCAGAAGGTGCTATCTTGGCATGTGCAGGCTAGAGCCACCTTGGGGTGCTTTGTTAGTGAGGATGGCACTGGTGACAATACTGTGCTCTCTTCCCTGCCAGCAGTGACCCCTGACTCACTCCTTTGCTTGGTGTACACAATGGGAGAGAACAAATCCAAGACACACAGGGCTTCAGCCACATCCTCAGCTTCCAGAGCTCCAGCTCAGACCAATGGGCCCTGGCCTAGCACTGTGGGACTATGGGCTCTGAGCTGGGGTGGGGAATGTCAAGTGACACTTCTCCTCTCCAGGAGCTGTTCAAGAAGGTGGTGCCCTATGACTGCCTAGGCTCCATCTGTTCCCAGAGGAAAAAGAAGGGCAAGGAACACCTGGTGCCCACCGTCCGTGCCACAGTAACACAGTTTAATAGGTGATCCACTGTGTAATCACCACCTGGCTGGGGAACAGGAGCATGAAGGCCCCAGACAGGGCCAGAGTGGTGGAGCACTGGATCGAAGTGGCCAGGGCAGGCTGTGGGTGAGCCCAGGGGACCACCTCACCCAGTCCTGGGAACTCCCTCTTCTCTTGGGTCAGTTCTCAGGATTGGGGTCTGTGGCTGAAGCCTCTACACAGACCCTAGTCCCCTCCTGTGCAGTGGCACTCTGGCCTTAACTTGCTTGTGCCATTGGGGGGCACTCATTCCTACCTAAACTCCATCATCAGGTTGAGCTAAAATAATCCTCCCTGTAATCCTTGTCCTGTGGGTCCAGGTGTGCCCTGCAGGGGCTCTGTGAGTGTCTGTCTCATTGAGGGAGGAGATGTCAGCTAAGATAGACTGAGGCTGCAGCAGGTGTAGGTCCAAGCCTCCACCTCATGGCTCATTCTTTTTCCTCTCCCGGGAGTGTCTGATCCACTGGAATGTCTCCTCACTACATGCTATTCTGTCTGCTTTGAAGAGCACTTCAATCGATCGTTTGAAAGACAGTTGGGGAGAAGTGTCCAGGTGGGCATTCCTCTCCAATAGCAGCATCAGAGTAGACCTGGGACTTCACACAAGAATAAGAATTGCCACCTCAGTGAGCCTGGGACCTGCTGGGAGAAGGCCTGGGGGCAGGAACTGCTGGACAGGGTCTTGAAGCCTCCATGTGTCCTCAGGTCAGCAGTTCAGTGTCAGAACTCTATTTCCTGATCTGTCAGATACAGGATGGAGTCAAACTACTGACTGTCCAGTGTTCACTTCAAATCCCCATAACTCTGTCCAGTTGAAATCAAAACTGGGAAAATCTAGCTGTTCAGTGGAAAAGGGATTTGGGATCCTTGTTGCACCAACCTGAGACCTCACCACCCCGAGACCTCACCACCCCAGTCCCAGAGAGACTTTGTGGGGTCAGAGGAACCCAGTTTGTAAATCACTCACCCCAATAGTTTATACTTTGGACCCTCAAACAAAAAAGATTTAACTCATACCTCTCTCTGCATCCCCAGATTTCTCCCTCCTTCTTTCCCATCCCCTTAGCCACAGCTCCCAGACCTTTAAGAAGCTGCGTAAGAACAAGGACACACTAATCAGGGACCTGCCCATTAAGGTAAACTGGAGGCAGGGGATGGAGAGGGACAGGGTGGGTGGAGTTTTATCAGTTTCACTTTGAAAGTTTGTGTGAAAAATTCCAGTCTTGTCTTGAGTGCAGTAAGAGGAAGAGGGATCCGTTTGGTCAATGGGCAAGTGGGGAGTAGTGTCAGAGCAGGACACCCCTGGTCATGAGATGTAGTGTAGGAGGCTATTCCGTTGTAGGAGGGCTTGATGAGCTGACAGAATGTCTCTGGCTTCCAAGCTGGGCCCTAATGATTGGATTCAGCTCCTCTGGGCTGTTAGTTAACTGGGTAGACAGGGGTCCTTCCTTCCAAAGTGCAGCACAACCTGTCCTCAAACAGACAGCTCTGCTGTTCCTTCTGTCTGCACAGCATACACAAGGGGCGGGCACCCTCCTTGCACCAGGGATGAAGACTGCAGGGGAGTCCTGTGGACCTCATGGCCCCCTGCCTTGAGTCCAAATGGCTCGACCTGGGAGACAGATGTGTATACCTTCTGGGACTCCTGCCACCCCTTCCATACAGCAGACACCGCTCATCAATCCCACACTCAAGATTCTCATCATGGGGTCTCCTTAGCAATGACATATGGCCAGATGTCTTATGAGAAGTGTCTAGAGACACGAATCCAGAATCTACCTCTAAAGCTTCCACCTAAAAGAGGAAGCAAAGTGTCACCGCACATTGCTCCTGACAACTTCTACCAGACTAGTCAGAAATGACCTTTGGGAAGCCCATTCCATAGCTGATGGGGACAGAGTTTTCCACAGGGGAGTTTCTGAGGGCTCCTTGTGAAGGTAAAGCCTTTGGCAATACCTTGGGAGCAGAGACTCCAGTGGGGCTGGAGCAGGCTTTCTGAATGAATCACCCTGTCCATTCCCTCCACAGCTCAGTCCAGCTGGGACTCAACCTCACAACAAGAAGCCAGGAAGGCAGTCCCCTAGTCAGTGGTGGGGGGTGAGTTGAAGGCAGCTGACCCAGGGCCTCCTGCTGGGAGAAAGGACCTGTCCTTCTTCTCTGACTCCTTGTGAGACCCTGGACACATTGCTGCCCCTGTTAGGGCCTCTATTTTCTCATCTGCAAAATGGAAGAGTGAGGATGCTGTGGCCCACATCATAGGGTGATGAAGAGGGTTAGGAAGAAAAAGTATGTTCATGAGCTTATGCAGAGCTCCACCAGGGAAAGGGTGATGGCAAGAACAACAATAATAATAGTGATATAGGATTGGGTCTTCTGGAGACCCAATGGGGTGTGGGGAATTCCCACCACACTTTCCAGGTGAGGAAAAAGGCTCAGGGGAGGCTTTTCCAGTGAGTGTTGAGTTGGGGTTTGACTCTAAAATCAGAGCACACTGGAGGTGGCAGTAGTAATGTACCAGCTGACTCCGGTCAGCTGTCCAAGGCCCAAACAAGGGTGCAGGAGAAGTAAAGTGGCCATAGGAGGATGTCCTCACTGGTTCATCCTTGACTATGACAGAAGGGGATCTCCAAGTTTGCCACCCTGAATATGATCCCCAAGAGGGCCCAGAAGATGCAGCAGCAGAAGGTGAGTGAGTCGAGGCCAGGGAAGGGACCAGGAGGAGCTGGCTCCAAGTCAGGAGAGGAGGGGCCCCTCCTCCTCAGGCCCTTTCCTCCTGGGGCCTCAGTGCCTGAAATGTGTCCACTGGACATGACCTTCTGTGGGTCCTAGAAGGGACATGTCTGGACCTGCTAGTATCTTGGGGAGCAAATTATAGCCACCAGAGTTAAGGCCTGAAGAGCTGGCTTCAGGGGGCATTTGGGAGTGGGGAGGGGCGAGGGACCACATAAGGTTTGTGAGTTGCCAAAAGGTGATCCCTCAAAATGATTAGGGGGAATTCAGGGTCTATGAAGCTGGGAATGGAGACTCAAGTGGAGGTGGCTAAGGGTCCCCAGGGTTCTCTAAGTGGGAGCCTGCTGTGTAGGGCCAAAAGTGTAAGGTTGAGGAATTTCAGGGAATGGGCCTTTTGCAGATACCTGAGAGTGTGTGCTCATCCCCACCCCCACCCCAATGTTACAGGGTGTCCTCCAGGGCACCATGCCCTACCTGGGAGTGTACCTCACAGACCTGGTGATGCTGGGCACTGCTTTGCCAGATTTTCTGGATGTGAGTGAGCCTGGGCCCGTGGGTCAGGAACCAGGATCCTGGGACTTGGGAAAAAGGTTCCCCCCTTACTCATCCCTGAGTTCTCAGCACATGGCGCATTCTCTTTTGGGAGCCTTACCACAGCCCCTGTGAGTTGGGAGTGTCAGGCCATCTTACCTACAAGTAAATGGTGGCATAATCCACCTGACCCAGTGTCCCAGGCTGATGAAACAGCAGAGTTTCTGACTGCAAACTGCATGAGGTTTTGGCTGAGCTGGAAACTGCATCTCTCTGGGCAGAGCAGGAGATGACCGAGTGTTCATTGTTATTACCTTTTAGTTAGTATTGTATTCTTATTTACATTTATTTATAAATATTTTCTTCTTAGAATAATAAGTTTAATTTCTTCTTGTTTATTTCAATCATCCTGCTTTTTTCTGTAATTTACACTTGAGTCATTTAGTTTTATAGTTACGAAATTCCATGTTATTTTATATTCATTTATTTTCATGGGGATATGGTTCCAGATATAGCAATTTACATTTAGTTATTAGTTATATTAGTTTATTTCTTGTTCTTTAACGTCCCAGTCATATACATGCAGGGTCGTGTCTAACTGCACCTACAGCTTCATCAACAAATGGATTTTGATATTATCCATCAGACACCAGGCTTCTCCATGGTGCCTTGTGCATATCATGGGGTCCCCATGGATTGTCCTTAAATGTTTGTCCATGTTACATTTAACACCACTATTTTAGAAATAGCCTCTGTGAAGAAAGAACTCTTATACTTTACTGTGTTTTTAAAAATTTAAGTCAACGTTCAACATAATAAACTTGTCAACCACATTATACCATGAATCCCTTTACCGAACATCTTGAAATAATATATACAAATTAAGGATTATGTGGTCCAAAACCATAAAAATAAGCTTCTCCCACAAATGGGCTCATCTTCCAGGACTTCAGAATTGTTCTCCCAGGCTTCGTGTACTCTGGGATGTTTTCCTGTTCACTGGCAGTGGACTGTCATTGGTAGAAGTGATTGTAAGAGGTTCAAAGCCGTATCTGAAACACGCTCCTGTGTCATCTCACTTTATAAAACATTATAGTTGGAAGGCCAAATACTACAGCAGGCCATCAGCAATAGTTGTTGAATGAATGAATGATGGTCATTTAGTTCAAAGATTCTTGGTCTGTGATCCATGAATTACTAGATAGATTTTAGGGATCCATGATTGTGTGCAAATTGCTTCATATACATGCATTGTTTGGGGCAAGGAAAGAGAGAGAGAGAATACTCCTGGTGTCTCGAGACCTGTCATCTCTGCAGAAGGTAAGACAGGTAAGGATGAAAAGGGCCCAAACCAAGTATAGCCCCCTTAGCCTCTGAGTCCCACCATCCACAGCTAAGCTGGAGCTCCCCTCAATCTTCTTAGAGGTCACTCCGGAGCCGTGAGGAAAAATTCATTTTGAATCTATTATAGTCTTCAATGCATATGAGAACAACCTGAGGGCAACATGACCAACCAAATAACCTCACATGTAGAAATATACTTGGGATGACATCATGGTCTTTATTCACACCTTAGATGTATTCTCAGGCTTAGCTACTATGGAGGAGGCTTTTAATATCCTTGAGATGCTCACCAGTCCCAAAGTAAATTTCTCATACTTAATAAACCCCTTCAATTTAAGGCATATTTCTTCAAAGACACTCAATCCAGAAAAAATAAAAATAGAAAATCCATATAATGATTATATGATAACAGAGAAATAATCAGAAAGGAATTGAAGTTTATACGTTTAGATTAATAACTCTGAGTCCTACCTACCCTACTAGCAAAAATTGTGTCCAATAGTCATGTCCTCAGTTGTCCAGGAACCCCACCAGCTAACAAAGGATAAAAGGACTCATTTCAGAAGAGAAGGGAGAGTCTTGCACCCAACATGGCCCAGAGTGCCTGATCCTGCTCCACCTGACAGAGAAGACTTGTCTGCCGTGCAGGAAGCATTTTAGAGACCCCTGGAGATGAAAAAGAGGGAAGATCCTACTGTCTCAGGCCTACACTCAGGGACTAAGATTAACAAAACTGACCAAACAAAACCTACTTTCTCTGAGTCGATTCCAACTCACAGGAACCTCATAAGGTTTGCAAAGCTGTAAGCTTCTATGGAAGCAGACTGCCACATCTTTCTCCCTCGAAGCTGCTAGTGGTTTCCAACTGCTGACCATTCAGTTAGTAGTTGATCACTTTAAACAAAACTGAGGGAAGAATAAATATAAAGGAGAAGACATCTAGGCACAGCAATGAAAAATCACTGAATAACTTAAAGGAAGCCTGAGTCGGGAAAGGGACACGTCTACAACCAAGATGTAAAAACACACATCTACTGAAGTGATGGAAATCAGAGCACACAACTTTAAGTACCAAAAAGTATCAAATTGTAATTTTATTCTGAGTAGATGTCATTCTAAAGGGTAAGTGAAATAAAGACATTCAATTTATTTAAGATAAACAATAAAAGAAATTCTAAAATTTCTTTCAAATGAAAGAAGATTATTCTAGATGGCATGATCATTTCAGTTTAAAATCCTAAGGAATCTCTAAAACGTTAATAGAACCAACTTCCAATTTTAGCAGCATAATAGGGTACCAGGTCAATAATGAAAAAAATAATTGTATTTCCATATTCTAGCAATGGACAATTGGACACTGAAACTAGCAAAGTAACATTTGCAGTAAAATTCAAAATTATATACCTATGGTTAGATTTATCAAAGTATATGCAAACCTCCACAATGAAAACTACAGAACATTCCTAAGAGAAAGAAAAGAAGACCTAACTTAGCATAGTTCATACCTTGTTCATGGATCAGAAATCTCAATGTTGTTAAGATGTCAATTCTCCCCACACTGATTTATAGCTTCAGTTAAATTCCAGTGAAAATATCAGCAGGTTTTTAAAATGTTTTCACATGTTCATTTAAAAATTTTTGGGAAAATGTAAAGACCTGGAATATTCAAAACAAATTTAAAATAAAATAACAAATTTGGAGGTCTTTCATTAGCTGAGGATGAGATTACCATAAATCTACAGGAACTAAGATACTGTGGTATTGATAAAAGAGTAGCCAGTGGATCAGGCCAGGATTCCTGAGGGCAGAATTTGGCTTTGATGGATTACTGTTTTAGGAGCACTACCAGGTAACTGTTAGAACTTATATCCACGTCACTGTCTAATTTTGGTGCTGCTTCCACCACAGGAGCAGGTGACTGTCTCACAGTGGCAGAAATTGCAGTTGGCTGAATCAGTGCAGACTGAGTCCTGGACCCTGACTGTTAGGTGGGAGACAGAGCGGGCTGAGAGGTGCTGGGGTCGTTGGACAAGGGGAGGAAAGTGGGTCCTGTGCTCTCCAGCCCCCAGCCCTGGGGCCCAGTCTCCAGTCACCTGTACAGTAAGTGGGGAGGGTGAGGACAGAGGTCTAGCCATGGTGGAGATGTCCACAGAGCTCTGCATCTTGAGGACCCACAACTAGGGCTGTGCTTCCCCAAGTTTCTTGTGTATCCCCAGTCACTCCAGGGAGAAAGTGGGGCTGGGAAAGGCCAGGAAGAGCTCCCCAGGTGTTCTGGGAGGTGTTCAGTTAGCAGGGAGAAGAAGGAAATGGATCAGGGCCAGAGGCTGGTTTCCTAGTTGTTATCACCCTATAGACCCCTCAAGAACAGGCCAGCAGCACCCAGTGTTGGCCCAGGGCCCAGATCCAACTGTGTCTCCAGTTTCTCCATTGCTGTTATCTATTTACACCGTCCCAAAAAGGAGGCAATTGTGTCCTAATTTGGCTGCATCTACCCTTATTTCTCTACATGGATTGCCTGCACCGTGACTCATCTGCCCTGCTCACTGAGCTTTTCTAGGAAGTCCTGGGCACTAATCCTCACTGAAGAAGGTTCTCCTAACAGGCATCAGAGCAAGAAGCCCAACATGGTGACAGGGTGGCAACCAGCATGCAGGGCTGTACCTGGAGCCGCCTCCTTCCCTGTGCCCACATCATACCACAGCCTTCCTTTCCAGGCTGCAAGCCCTGTTCTGGAACTCCTGGGTTCTCATGCTGGGGCCTCCTCTTCTAGTCTCAGCCTGTTGACCCCAGCATAAAAGGAATTCTGGAGTTTGTTCTCTTACTAGACGGAAGGAGAGCTGGGCTCAACTTCCTAACACCTCTGTCTTGCTCTCCATTTTTAGGGATGCCTGGCTGAAGCGGTCCAGTGGGAGGACAGATAAGTTTCTCTGTTTCTGCCTAACATGAGACTCTGATTGTGACAGGTCCCAGGGTCCCTGGTCCAGAGCTCGAGTGCAACAGCCTCTGGAGGGGCTCTGAGTCTGGGGGCTATGAGAGTCATGGAATGAGGACTTGGTAAGTAAGGAGCATCAATGAATTAATTGACTACAAATTGACTACATCTGTGGAAAGTGATGATGGAGAAGCTCAATATTGTCAGTCAGAACAAGGCCAGAGGCCGTCTGAAGAACAGACCGTCAATTGCTCCTATGCAAGTTCAAGCTGAACCTGAAAAAAATTAAAACAAGTCCAGCAGAGCCAAAGTACTACCTTGAGTATATACCACCTGAATTTAGAGGCCGTCTCAAGAACAGACTTGACGGACTAAACAGTGATGTCACTAGGGTTGGTGTTGCTCAGTGGGATAACTCATGGTGTTGACCCTCCATGGCCCTCCTCCCATACCAGATCATACAGAATCCTAAGTAAAGTCTTTTGTACTGCTGTTACTTGTAAATTGCAATTCTCATATAACACTAAATGTAATGCCAATAGCAGTGACATAAACAACTAGCAGAAGCCTTTTTTTATTTTTATCCTTCTTTTCCCTAATTACTACTTCATTCTCAGAAGAGTTATTTGACATGGGTTCACAAACACTAATTACTACAATATTGTAGATAAAATACCAGAAAATTTGACAAAATCCATGAGTACAAAAACACAGGCAGCAACGAAAACAACAACCTGTGCTTGTTGGGCGTGCAGATGAAACCACATGATTTGAAGCAACATTGTAATTGGTAATAATGACAGCTCTGACCAGAGTGCATTAGAAGGTTCAAAAAGTAAATTAGCATAGAGTTTTAGTCTTATAGGTATATTGCTACATTTCAACTGGGTTTACAAAAAATATTTTTGTTGTTATAACTAACTACAGGGATAGTTTTATAAGAAATAACAAATTTCTGCTGAAACAGCACAAAAATTTTATAGTCATTTTGGTGTCACTCTCTCTGACAGTGTCATCTGGTGTGGACTGCACCCCCCCCAAACCCTCCCAACCCCCAACCCCCTAGTGACACCACTGGCATTGAACGCTAATGATGAAAGACCAGGCACGTTGTGGGATGTCATTAAGGACATCATACATGGAGAAAGCAAAAGGTCATTAAAAAGACAGGAAAGAGAAAATAGAGCAAAATGGATATCAGAAGAGACTCTGAAACTTGCTCTTGAACGCAGAGTAGCTAAACTGAAGGAAGAAATGATGAAGTAAAAGAGCTGAACAGAAGAATTCAAAAGGCAGCTTAAGAAGACAAAGTAGAGTATTATAATGAAATGTGCAAAGACATGGAGTTAGAAAATCAAAAGGAAAGAATACACTCAGCATTTCTCAAGCTGAAGGAATTGAAGAAAAAATTCAAGCCTTATGTTACAATATTAAAGGATTCTATTGGCAAATTTAAACAAGGAAGGAAACATCAAAAGCAGGTGGAAGAAATACACAGAAGCACTGTATCAAAAAGAATTGTTCGACATTCAACCATTTCAGGAGGTAGCATACGATCAAGAACTGAAGATACTGAGGGAAGAAGTCCAAGCTGCCTTGAAGGCACTGGTTAAAAAACAAGGCTCCAAAAATTGATGGAATACCAGTCAAGATGTTTCAACAAATGGATGCAATGCTGGAAGTACTTACTCATCTATGCTAAGAAATTTGGAAGACAGCTACCTGGTCAACCGACTGGAAGAGATCTGTATACCTGTCTATCACTAACGACAGGGATTTTTTTATAAGAAATAATGAATTTCTGCTGAAACACTGCACAAACATTTTATAAAGAAAGAAAAGTGATCCAACAGAATGCTGAAATTTTCAAATAACATCATTAGTATCCCATGCAAGTAAATTTTTGTTGAATATAATTCAAAAACAGTTGCAGCAGTACATTGACAGGGAATCGCCAGAAATTCAGTCAGATTCAGAAGAGGACTTGGAACAAGGGATATCATTGTTGATGTCAGATGGACCTTGACTGAAAGCAGAGAATGCCAGAAAGTTGTTTCCCTGTGTTTTATTGACTATGCAAAGCCGTTCGACTGTGTGGACCACAACACATTGTGGATAACATTGTGAAGAATGGGAATTCCAGAACACTTAATTGTGCCCATGAGGAACCTGTACACAGACCAAAAGGCAGTTGTTCAAACGGAACAAGGGGATATTGCATGATTTAAAATCAAGAAAGGTGTGTGTCAGGGTTGTATCCTTTACCATACTTACTCATTCTATACGCTGAGCAAATAATCTGAGAAGCCTTGACTATATGAAGAAGAACACAGCACCAGGATTGGAGGAAGACTCATTAACAACCTGTGATATGCAGATGACACAGTCTTGCTTGCTGAAAGTGAAGAGCACTTACTGATGCAGACCAAAGACTTCAGTATGGATTGCATCTCAACATAAAGAAAACAAACATGCTCACAACTGGACCAATAAGCTACATCATAATAAAAGGAGAAAACATTGCTGTTGTCAAGGATTTCGTTTTACTTAAATCCTCAATCAACACCCATGGAGTATCAATCAAGAAATCAAATGATTATTGCATGGGCAAATCTGCTGCAAAAGACTAGCTGCTCTGTGGGAGAAAGATGTGATAGTCGGTTTCCGTAAAGATTTACAACACCGGAAACCCTATGCGGCAGTTCTACTCTGTCCTATGGGCCTGAATTGACTCAATGGTAATGGGTATGGGGTATGGGTAGTCACCTATTCAGGTTTTGTAGGCATTGTTCAATTCTCTCTGACAATGGCTTCTCAGGGACAATGGACAAAAGAAACGTCAAGGAGAGTTTTTAGGCTTCTTAGTTTTATCAAGTTTCTCACACCCAAAAATTCTGATCAGAGTTAGAGAATTATTATAAGTGTTATTACTTTCTAGTCCTTTAAATTTTTAGTTGGTAGGTATGTTAGGAAGTTCAGAAATGGACATACATGTTATTTGATTTGCAAATAAAAATGTCCAGTAGAAAATAAAAAGCTTGGAATACACACACACACGTATACACAATTTTGAAGTTTTACTGTTGTAAAAATATATATACCACAAAAATGGCCACTTTAACTATTTTTAAGTGTACAACATAGTGTAACTACATTTATAATGTTGTGCAACAACCACCACCATCCGCCTCCAAAATTTCGTTTTTTTTATTGTACTTTAGATGAAGGTTTACAAAACAAACTAGCTTCTCATTAAACAGTTTTACACATATTGTTTTGGGACAATGGTTAACAACTCTACGACATGTCAACACTGTCCCTTCTAGACCCTGGGTTCCCTATTACCAGCTTTCCTGTCCCCTCCTGCCTTCTAGTTCTTGCCCCTGGTGTGGTGTGCCCCTTTAGTCTTGTTTTGTTTTATGGACCTGTATAATCTTTGGCTGAATGGTGAGCCTCAGGAGTGACTTCATTACTGAGCTAAAAAAGGTGTCTGGGGGCCATATTCTAGGGATTTCTCCAGTCTCTGTCAGGCCAGTAAGTCTTGTCTTTACCTCCAAAACTTTTTTGTTACCAAATATAGAAACTCAGTATCCATTAAGCAAGAACTCCCCATTCTTCCTTCTCTGCAGCCCAGCTACTTTTGTCTCTGTGTATTTGCCTATTCTAGATACTTCATATATGTGAGATCATACCATACTATACTATATAAATATGACTTAATAAACATATCCCATTTTGAAAAAAAAGATTTTGCCCAAGGTCACCCATCAAAGAAAGTGGAAAGGGGACTTGATCCCAGGTCTGTTTGTCTGCAGAGGGATGAGCAGACATCAGTTGCCTTCATGGTCACAGCATGTGCTCAGCATGATGCCGGTCCATATGGTGGCATGCTTGTCCATCTGGAGGAAAGCGATGAACTGGCCAGGCCTCTTCACTCAGGCCTCTCCATAGGGCCAAGATGGAGGAACCATGTTCTTATTATGAGACAAGATTAAATAAGAAGCTCTTCAGGGAGAAAGAAAAAATAGCCCCGTTTCCATGTACACACAATTTATGAGCTGACTTTAGGAATATCCAAAACACAGTCTTACTCCACAGTGAAAACACAGTAAGAACCTGGTTAAACCAACCAGCTGCTGTTGAGTCAATTCTGAATCGTGGCGACTCCATGTGTGTCAAAGTAGAACTGTGTTCCATTAGGTTTTCAGTGGCTGATTGTTCAGAAGTAGATCACCAGACCTTTCTTCCAAGATGCATCTGGGTGGACTCAAACCACCAGTCTTTTATTTAGCAACCGAATATGGTAACCATTTATACCACCCAGGGACTCCATGATAGCCACAAGCTTAACATTTTGCATAATTAGCTTTTCATGCTCTTTGCATTGCCAGTCTCTCTTCTTAGGTCAACTTTTCAGAGCAGACTTTCCTGACTGCATCATCATTCCTCCCACTCCATTCCACTGCCTTCAGAGCACTTATGATCTGTTTGTCTCTCTCTTCTAGGGCATAAGTTCCATGAAGGCAGGGACTTCTCCTGTCTTGTTTGCAGCTATAGTCACAGTTCCTGGCATGATGTGGGGGCTCAGTAAACATTTTCTCAGTGAATGGGTGAGTGGATGATATAGGTATGCAAAAGAAACAGGAGAGTGTAGTGTGGAAAACCAGCCCTGGAATCCAGGAGACCCGGGCTCAAATCCTTGCTCAGGCACTTCCAAAGTGGGTTTGTGATCTCATTTTGGGAAACGAAGGCTCAGCAAGAAGAAACGACTTGCACAGGAAGGTGGAGCTGGCCCAGAGCAGAGACAGAATTCCAGTGCCAGCTTGTCTCCCCGCCTCTGTGCTCTTCCCACCATATTCTGTGTTGCAACGAGTTCTCGTATGTGTCTTTTTGTCCTTGGTTTTTGGAAATTGACCTTAGGAGATTTCCTAAATTGTCTACCCCTGAGGGTTTGTTGGAACTCT